TGCTGAGCTTCAAACGTACATCTAGAGCTACCAAATCTGCAAGATGCAAATCAACCGAAAAAAGAGAGAGGAACCACTGATTATTTCTTGTATTAAATAAGTTATGTGCTGCTGTCAGGAAGTCACACTGGCATGAAACTAGCAGATCAGAAAGAATAACCACGTTTTAAAAATCTGTTTAGCAGAAACATCTTTATTGGCTACTAGCTTTGTTGCATATGTTAAGTGGTTATTTTTGCTTGTTCATGGCTCCTTGAAATGACTGATTTCCCAGGAACTCAATTAAAACCTACATTTTCACCCTGTATAGATGTGTATAGATTTTACAGTATATTTGTTAGCTTTTGCAGGAAGGTATTTTCCCATTTCTTTTACATCCTCTCATTACATTCCGGCAAAATAAAATAGAAATGTAAAGGTTGTTCTCATTTTGCAGATATTTGTGTGACAACATTTGTGGCCACATGGCAGTCTTCCTGCAGTGGAATTGCATTACAGAGAACATGTGGGTGTGATGCTTGCGTGCCCTCCATTTGCTTTGGTTTTTACCTCTGGTAAGTTTTTTTGACAGCATCTGCTAATTTTGCTCACTGCAGAAGGTCTTGAAGGTTCAGACCTCACCTGAGTGCTATAATTTCTTCTCTGTTTACTTGAACCTCTGTGATAGTCCTTCTTAATCCATTTAAAACATATATAAAAACGTAACTGCCCTGCCCAAGTCACAGTCTCTCCTCCTTTTGATTTCTAAACTCAGATCCTTTCTATCCTTTCCTTTTGCTGTCCCACTGAATCTGATGGTCTGTTGTCCGCATGTGGCTCTGTCAGCGAGGTCCTACCAGCTTGTCCTGGCTGTCTGACCAAAGACCAGCCCATTTGTATCCTGAAACTGTGGCACGGGTCAGGCATCTCAGGAGTAAGAGCAAAGGACGGGCAGGACTGTACAGCTGACCCCCTTCCTACTGCCCAGCGCACCAGGCACCTGGCTGCGGGAAGGGCAGGAGCGGAGCTGAGCTGAAGCTGCGGAGAACGGGAAGACCGGCATGGCTGCTGCCAGCAGGGAGGGAGAGAAGAGCGATAGTAGGTGCTGCTGCGGCAGGGAAGGGCCCCTTCCCTGCTGAAAACACAGCCCCGCACATCTCTGTCTTCCCAGGTGACACTCTTTGTGTAGCTTTCCTCTGTTGTGGCTTTTGGGGTGGGAGCGGCGAAGCCATGGCATGGTGGTGCCCCGGGCAGTGTCCTGCTCTGCTTTTCCCGCCGCTGGCTTGATGCTGCTTCCCATCTGCGACGGGGTGTTCTGGTTGGGGCCTACTCCTGTAAAGAGTTTGTGTGCACAGCACCCGCTGGATTCGACAGAAGTGCTGGAAAAGATCTGTCATTTTGCTCTGGTGTTTTATAGGTTAGGACCTTGCCTATTTTATCCATAACACGCATTGTGTGATATATAAATTATTGTAATAAACGTCTAGCAAAATACTGCCTGAAATACCTTGAGAGCTATAGTGAAATTGAATGTAGGCCTGAAAAGGGGGAACACACTCAGATTTACAGTCTTGACTATTTTCAAATTCTAATTATGTTTCAGGAAAGGAAAACAAAAGTAATTCACTCAGAATGCTGGCCATAAAGAAAGGTAAATGGCAGTAATACACTTACAATACTAGCCCATAAAGATTTTTTTTTCAATTGCTGGATAGAAACAGTGTACACAACTGCATAACTGTTCTATACTAATAAACGTGTAAGGTTTAAAAATGTAGTTCAGCTGAAGGCAGACTTGAGAATTCTAGAAAGCTGGTTAGAAATCTTAGCTGCAGAGAAATTTAACCGTGTGCTATTGTGATCACCTTGTTTTTTGAGTACTTGCAGATCTTTAGATTACTATGGGGTTTTTCTTGGTGTTTTTTTTTGTTTTTTTTATCATGCCCCTATTCAAGGTGTAGGTCCTCCCTCTTGGAGAATCTTTCTAGATGGGTTGAATTTGGTTCATCAGTCCCCAGATCATGCCTACATTAGTGAACTGCATGATTTACAGATTTATTTCCATTGATACTGGAGTAATGTGTTAACATAAACACATTTTACTAAGTTATTCCCAGAGTATTATTGCTGTTTGCCTCAGAAGGCACCACCTGTGTAGCTACCCTTATTAACGGACAGTGAGCATGACAGCGGTTTCGAATGAAAATGGCTTCAGAGAATGAAAGGAGGGAACTTCGAACTCTTGTAGACCTAGTTAGGTATGGCCCAGTGCAGCCACATAAATGAACACACAGAGATATAAAATCTTTAATGGATTTATCTGTGAAATACTTGAACATCGAAGTCTTAGTACAGGTCTTGGGCATTTTGTCAAATCTACCACAGTTAAGTAGCTTGGGTGAGCAGTATATGAGCTTATGAGAGCAGTAAAGACATAAAGTGATTTTGCTGTCTCAAATGATTGCTATGTATCAATGCCAGTTTACTTCGGTTTGAATGCAGGAGGAAAAAAATTTCCAGCTGAGAAGATACCACATCAGGATTCTTCATTTTTAAGCCTGCAGAGTAATACGATTTCCCAGAAAAAAAATGCAGTGGCTCAGCAAATATCATCAGCAAGACTTCACAAAATTAAAGAGCTGAAGAATGAAATATTCGATTTACAGCACAAATTAGAAGCATCAATCTTAGAAAACAACATTTTGAAACAGCTTCAGTCTCGACACTTGAAAGCAATAGATAGATACGAAAATTCAAAAAGTAACTTGCCGGATCTTTTAGCAAATCATTATAATGAGGTGAGAACTTTAAGGAAACTCCTTAGGATGTCTCAGGAGGACGAGAGAAGTACAGCCAGGAAGCTCAGAAATGTTGAAGCAGAGCTGCTAAAAGCTAAAGAAGCTTTGCAGACCTTGTATATGCTTTCAGAAGATAAAGCTCTTGCAGAGAGAGAGGAACTTTATCACAGATTATCAGCCCTTACAGAAAAAATGGAAGCGAATAATAAGAGAATACAGGTAATATGTGCATGTCATTGTATTTGTGGAACAATAATAGGAGAGGTTTCTGTGCAAGGATAGTGGAAAGTTTTTAGCTGCTTCTTGTCACGTTAATGATTCTGATACAATCCTGTAACATCGAACACTCTTTTTAATCCAGTGCTGTCCTGAGTGTAAGGTACTACAAATGGCAGTATTTTAAAATCCGGCAGAAATGTATGAGTAGATTAAGTCTGGTAATAAAGGTCTTTTAGCAATTATGTCGTATGCCTTAACCCTGTTAGGTCAGAAGCGTAGCATATAGCTGGAGAGTCACCTTCAGCAGAGTGCCTGCTCTGCTCCCTGCCAGCAGCATGGGGTATCCCGGCTTGCTTGGGCCGTCTAGCCACAATAGCACGGACCCTAATTTACCTTGGCAAAGCAGAGGATTACTCATACGTGGAGAACGCCAGGCTGCTGCTGATCTCCTTCCTTGAACAAGAAAAGCTGGCTTATCTGGAACTAGCGCTGGTTGTTTTTACGTGGTGCTGGTGGGCAGTATGGACATACCTACATCTCCTGTTCACGAACTACTGTCACTCACTGTAGTCAGCTGTAGAGCGGCTGCTGAATCAAGCAGTAGTCAGGTGTCCTAGATTTTGGGGTTGGTTCTACTGTTGGTTTATTACGCAACTGTAGTAAAAGCCCTGTGGGAGTTGAAGAGGAGATAGCTCCTTTTAATATCTCATGCTTCTTTACTCCTATCGAACTTTTCACAAGAAGACAGGAATACAGTTTTTAATACAAAACTGGAAGAGTGAAATTTCCGTTGTCCTCCAGGAATTAATTTATATTTTCTATGGGGTATATTATGCACGGAATTAAAAAAAGACCCAGGTAGTCTTAGAGGCATTTCACCATCTGAACGGCTAGGTCTGAAGTATATTTACTACATGAAAGAAAATGAAAACATAAACAGCTGAATTCAGACTCTCTTTTGAAAACTTTCTATTTACGGAAGTCCTAGTGAGAAGCTATAAAAAGCATGCAGGGTTAGGTGTCCACCTTACAGTTTTAGTAACTATCATTTCAGTGCATGGCACTGGGTTCTGATGATAAAGTACTCAATAAATTACCTAGTTTTCATTTACACTAAGCCTCCTTATGCTGCCACGGTTAATAGATCTCAGTGTGAACAGAAATGTTGTCTTAACATTTTGCAAAGATGATTGTATTCATTAATCCACCAGAAAGGTAATGTACGGCGTTATTTTTTATGTTTGAATACAAAACGTACTTTTTTTGTTTAGTAAAATCAGGTTTTAAACCAGTTTTTGCTCATTTTTAAAGTAATTTTTCAGATACTTCATAAATTCATTGTTTACAATAAGGTATAATTATTAGAAGCTTACTTTTCATTATAGTAGCATGCTTATTTTTTAAATCTGGTAAGAACTGAAATTTTTCAACAGTCATACTGAGTACATCCATATAGTAAAATATGTAATTTCTTTAAGAGCCTAGAAGAGCAGCTGAAGCTGAACAATAGCACCTTTAGTCGTCAGCTGGCAAACGAGAACAAAAAAGCTGTAGAAGCTGGGATAATTACAAAGAACTTGCAAGTGGAAATTAACTCTCTTCACCAAAAAATTGAGGTATTCAAGATTTTAAACAGATTTCTGTTCCTACAAGAAAATTCAAGTATGTAATGTTACCTATTTCTTTTACCTCTTTTATATTATTTAGTAATGGAATTTTTGTTTCCTAGTTGAGTCTATAGTCTACCAAAAAGAAGTCAAAATATCAAATGATGAAATTATTGTAGGGTCTATTTGTCAAAAGTTCAAAGTATTTCAATAACTAATCAAAACAGAGCTTAATACATTACAATTTGAACCATACCAACTTGTTACCTTTTTGATAGATCTAGGTCAATATATTCATCTACTAACTTTAACTGAGCTCGCTTACAGAAACACTTTCAAATCAAAATGAGCCAAATATTACAATCTTCAAAACCAGAGTTTATGAAAAAGACTTACATAAATGTTTCAATAGTTTGTTTAAATTCCAGCTTGTTTTTCAGCTAGATATTTTGGGGACAAGTATGTCCAGTTCACCACTTACTGTAATGCTTGTAAACCAAACATATAAGAAAACCTGAAAGTGACACTAAATAGAAACAGAAACAAAACTCCAATGAATGGTATGTCGTGTGAGTTGTAAATAAGAAAAACGGTACATATTCCAGAAAACACGAAAACCCTTGTGGCTTTTTAATAAGTTAAACCGTGCTTGTAACACAGTTAAAATATACTTTCTTTATTTCTATGTAAAGTGACTGATCCATCTGTTGATCCTGCCAGGGAGCTTTCTCTTTCTAAATGGAATCAAATGTCTGTGAAAGATGTTTGTTATGGGGAGTTTTCCCAGACATTGGGAAGGGCAGAACAGGCAGCTCCTGAGGATTCATGGACATTTACATTTCTCTACAGGGGCATTGTTTGCCCCTCTTACCTACATATCAGGTGCAGCAACTTCCCTCCTGGTATTTGGCAGCAGCCAGGCTGCTCAGCTGCAAAAGCTCAGCGAGCTGTCGGGAAAGGAAGAAAGTACAGTGCTTCTTCCTGGGCCCCGGGCCCGAGCAGCACGTGCTGTGCTATTTCCTTGCCAGAGCCTCATCTCCTCCTGTACGTCCAAATCTGGGAGATGGGAATAATTGTAGTCCCAGCAACACTAATGTAAAACTGTTCCAAAATGCAAATTATTCTAAGGCACAGTTCTCACCTGAACGCTTCCCTAAAATATTTCTGTTATTTCATGTGTTTTCCACACAGTTTTCTGTCAACTTACTTTATATTTAGATTCACAAGGCCTTCTGTTGTTTTACCATAAAGAACACCAGACGTTTATTAACCTTGCTTCTGTGCCAGAACAGAGTTTATTCTTACACATTCATAGTTTTGGGCACCTGGCTTATTCAAACCATTCAAGGTATTCAGACAGAGTTTCAGGACAACCTGTGTCTCCAAAGTAAATGCAGGTCCTATTTTGCACACTAAAACCTGATATGGTGAGAGTGTTACTGAAATCTCTCTTCTGTGTCCAAGACAGGTTTCAGTAAGGAAAGGACTCTTGCTATATAAACTTTAAAAGTGTGCTTCGGAATTTTATGTCATCTCCCAAGCAATGGGTTGTAAAACAGAACTGAGCACATTGTAAACAAGGGCACTGAGTAAATAAATTTAACAAAAAGGAAGTAAAGCCAAAAATTACTTAGTCTGAGAAAAATAGAACAACAAGTGAAAAAATCATTAGAGATGACTTCATCTTCTGAACATTGTGTTATGTAAAAGATCATGTAGGTGTACAGATGTGTTCTTAGCCTTAAAAAGGGAGAATTTTGATTTGGCTTATGAAAGAGCATGACAGATTCCCATTTATGTAAATGACAAAGTCACCACATGGCCTGATACAAAGCAAAATCACTGACAGTTTTCTCCCAACATGGGAAAATTAAGTTGGTAAAAAGTAATTCTTAATGCATATTAGAATTTTAAAAGTATTTATTTCTTCTTAGGAAAAGAATCGGCAACTTTATGTTAAAAATATCTATGCAAATCGGATGCCTAAAATCCCAAAAGACAAAAGTGATTCAGTACCTCATGAAAAAAGTACGTGTATATTCATTTTCCTTTCTTGTTTATTTCTGTGAACCTTAGATTCTTTTATAACTGGGATGTATATTCCAAAATAAAAGCCAATGTAGTACTTTTATATGGGCTAAAAATATTCAGTCACATGTAATTTAAAGAGAAGCACTTGTTTTTTTGCTCATTTATTTTATGAATACAATGACCCATTTTTAATATATAACCCAATTTTCATCATGAATAGCGTTTAGCATACATAGTTTTAGTATGCTAACAGTGACACTGAAGTAGTGCTGCGATTTGAAATGTCTATTTGCATCAAGAGCCATTTGCCTATTTGTTTTTCAACAAGGTGAAGCTATCGGTCCACAAAGCTTTTGCAGACTAATTTTTGTTCAGGCTGTCCTTTCGCACGTGGCCTGGGGAAGTGGCCACAATTCCCACAACATGGCTCACTAACTCACAGCACCTCGCAAATAACCGTCCTATAGCAGGTTCCTAGTTTTAGTACAGACTTTCAAAGCACTTTTATCTGAGCAAAAATAATGAATTTAAGTGGGTCTTTAAAAACTGTTTTCTCATCTTTAAAATCCTTAGACCCTATAACTTACAAATAGCGGAGATGCTTCAGTGTCCATTACTGAGGCTACTGCGACTTGCGTTTTGTTGGGGTGAAAGGAGAGGAGGAGTTTTCAGATACAAGGTTTCGGAAGTTTAAAGGCCAGTCTGACGATCATACTGTCAGCTTCTCTGAGAGAAGAAAACGTTTATCTTTAGTAGTCCTGTGTTTTTTAGGATAAATAGATCTAAATGGGCAACCAGAGATCATAATAACCCAGTTATTGTATGTCCTCTCAATTAATTCTATCTACAGAATTGATGTTATTTGGAATAATATAGTAGAAGGATAGAAAAGAACAATAGAAAATTCTGTCAAGGAAGAAAGAGCTCTTTAGTAAAGAGTATTTCTTTCACATGGATGCTCAGACAGGCACTGAGGAGAAATACCTATTATATGCAATGTTGTCTGTCAAACGTTCCAAGAGCAGCTACCTTGTGTGGGGTTCAGCTGCCCAATTACAGGCATCCAGTGCCATTTGGGATGCCCTAGCACATTCTGCCTGGCCCTGTAGTTGTTGTTCCAGAAGGACATGGGTGTCCTGTCGGGCCTGTGTAATATCAGCCAGCCTTGTGTGGATACCTTGAATATTCGAGGGCGTCTCAAATAGCACGAGGCGCCTGTGTTCAGACACGTGGATCCCACCCCTTGACCTGAGTGCGCCACAGCTAAAAACAATTACAAATCATACAAGCCAAGAACTGCTATGTTGCCCATGTGCTCACTATATTCATCAGGGACAAAAATGATGATGAAGAAGATAGTTTTCTTAAAGCACTTACAAATTTCTAATTGTCATATGCTTTAGATGCAGTATCTAGAATTAACTAATAAATGCGTTTTATACAGAAACTAATAAACAGATTTCAAACTTACTTACAAACTTACACGCTTAATTTTGGATAATGATCTGAACATTGACTTTCCTGGGTTAAGCACCTCTTTAAAATACTGGTCACATATTTCAGCTCCCAAACCAAAAGAGGAATTGGAACTGTCTTCATATGGGTACAGAAGAGCACTTAAAGATTACATGGTAGCAAACACATCTGCTGGAAATATTGCATATGCCCACAGAATTCTTCAAATTATGGTATCCGTACGAAGTCTTATTGTAGTCAGTTGCTTATTTCTTTCCTCTTCATTGCCTTTGCAAATCCATTACTCTTCCTTAACTACAAGTGAACTACATGGAAAAAGTTTGTAATTCAAGTTGTAAAATTAAGAAACACAAATTCCTGCTTCTGATTCCAAGTCAGACACTTTTTCTGTGAAGCTCTGAATTTCAATTTTAGTTACATCACATAACCAGCTATGGATTTTTATTTTTACACACATATGGACTTGTAAAATGTTGTTATTTAAATTACAGTACTTAAATTGCTGTTTTTTAAAAGCAAAATAAGGGAGCTTAGCTGGAGAGGGACCTGATATTTCATAATGAAAACATTCCAAGCAACGTTGTCTGATCTTTTGGCAATAAAGGTTTCATTCTCTGCCAGTTAATGGAAACAGATGATTTAGAAATACAGAGCTGGAATTACTGACAATTGTTTTTCCTTTTCACTGTTGACTTGAATTTTCCTATAACAAACTTAGAAAGCCCTACTTCTTCAAGTAGTTATTTTCTATTCTGCGTTTGCAAAAATTTTTACCCAGCAGGAAAGAAAAAAAGAAACAAGGGGCTGCATTTTTTAGCACTCCTGATAAATAGCTGAAGGTAGGCTTGCTTAGGTTATCAGGAAGCTCTATGTGTGTAAATAAAATTGGTTTACTGAATGAAGGCGTTAATTTAATGAGCTCCCCGAGAGAAAAGTTTGCTCCGTTGTGGGAAGGTCACACCAGCTCACCTAGAGGTACAGCTCCCCCTAGTCCTGAATCTGAGGAACGCTCTGCCGGATTCTGGTGGAAGAGCTGCTGAAATAAATACTTGCTAGTTCCCTTTCAAAACGGAATACTAATTCCCTCCACATGATCAAGGCCATTCCTTCAAGAGCAATCCCCAAATTAGTTATCAACATACTTTTTACCACCAAGCTGTCAACATTTGAAGAGCACCCTTTTTATGGAGAGTCTTCCTCTGATTTCAGAGACCAAAACTGGGAGTAAGGTCGAATGTTGATGTAGGTAAGATCACGTTTTTGCTGCCATGCTAGCAACTTTCTCAGCTACTGTACTCATGTGAAAATTATTCTAAAAATAGAATCAAAGAATAATATACTCATCTTCCCCTCCCCACCCCATCCCATCTCCATTCAGCTATTTCTTTAAATGTCTCATTCAGTCACTCCCTTGGAATCTCTTTTCAAATGCCACAGATATTTCAAACAGTGTTAAGCTTTTCCTCTGAAGAGTTTGGTTCCATTAAGCCTTACAGAAGGGCTGACTTTGAGAAAGGTGAGTACCCAAGGCAGAAGGCATAAAAACAAGCATCTCTGCAAGATCCAAATTTAGGAACCTGAAAGCTGAGGCCTCACACCAGACCTCTTAAATTTACATTAGAATGCTACCGCACAAATTAAGCCCACATGGGCTCTAGGGTATAGACACACTTGCCTGACTTCTGGTGTTCCATCTGAACAGGACTTTGTAGATCTATGATGCACTGATCTATGGATGAAAACGCTTGGGAGTCCAGGTAGCTATGGTTGTGTTCCAGTTTCAGCATTTATAGATCAGACAGAACAAAGAATGTCTTTACTGAAGGGCACTAAGGCATGTAGCCAAAAAATGTTTAAATCCTAGGCCGCACACCAGCATTATCAGTCATCAAAGATCTTTTGCTAATACCAACAATGTAATTCCAGAAACTACTGTATTACTAAAGATTGTCCTTTTTCAGTAGGTCTTAGAATAAACAGGTCAGTACAAGTAGATAAACGGAGTTTTAGATCACTGCTGCTGTCAGACTACCAAGCTTGGGAAACAGAAAAAAGTCCAATTCAGCTAACACAGGTATGAAAGATCTAATCCCATCCCTTGTTTAAACTCTCAGCTAAGCTGTATGTTACTCCCTAAGTTTCAGTAATATGCCTGAATAGCCTGATCTGTAATCCTAGCTTCCTAGGATGTGGATTTTGTGTGAATGTAATTATAATGAATGTTTTTTGTATGAAAATAATTATATTACAGAAAATATGCAGGACAAACATTGTGATACCAAATAAGAATATAATAGTAGTAGAAATTACTAATCTTTTTATATGCATTGCACTGACTGCGTACTTTTAAAAGTCACTGAACAAGAATCACCTTGTTATTTTTACCTTTAATTGCCAATTATAGGAGGAAAAGTCTTCAGAAGATAAGAATCAAAAAGCTAAAGCAAATGAAGCATACACAGATGCCCAATGTAGAACAGAAAAGCAACCAGCCAAGAAAATACCAAAGCCAGAACCTTTTAATAGAACATGTAGAGGTATATTTTAACATTTTTCTCAGAAACTCATTTGATCTTTTCAAAAGTTGAATGAACTGATGGTATTGGTAATTTCCATGTGCCTGACAGCCACTAGCTGGCACCTGACTGACAGGAACTAGATCAACAAAATAATGTATTAAGTGTCACTGAAATGCAGCTGCGGGCGGTGCTGCTCTGACAGCGGAGCAGCTCCACAGTGTAAGGCATGTTCATACTGCTGGACTTCTAAGCGCAGTCATCCTGGTCATGCTGGTAAAAAGTCAGTGCTTTATCTGTAAAGGTATGCTTTAATTAATAGTTTGTTAATTCCAGACTAATTACATACTGATCTCTACTTGTTGGTTGTGAATCTTCATTGTGGCTGATGTCAGCAGATACTTCTGGCTTGCAATCTGTTGCTGAGACAGGAAAAGGACTTCTTCAAGGGCTATTTGTATCTCCTCATTACAGTGATCACTTTAAATAGATTTTATGTAAATCTTAGCCATTGATTGTGTTCTCATATAACGGTTATATGCAGGGGACTCATTTATAACTCATTATAAACACCTTTCTTCTGAAGAGATTCTACAGAACAGAAGAAACCAATACATCTGTGCCTTTATCTGAGCTTTTCTTTCTAAAAATATTCATGTTATTTTCATTATAGCAAAGCCTGTAGAAAGAACCAAGATCTGAATGCCATCATGCTAAATACTTCACAAATGGTATGAGACATTCGATGACCTAAAGGTCACACATTTAGAGGTGAAACAGGTTGTTGAGCTCGTTCACTAGATCCATAGCAGAGCTAGTAATCTGGAATGCATTAACTCCTGTGTTTTGTACTTCTCCTTTTCAGCCTGCAGCCTTTCCAGGCCCCACCAGATAACCAAAGTCACTATTAGTCTTTCAAATCCCCTTTTAAAAGTGACAGAAAACACAGGTCTTCTGATTCTGCCTGTGAATCTCTCTCCTCACTGTTTGCCAGACTCTCTTTGGCTTTCTTCCACTGCTGATGTCAGACTTATTTATTGAAGTCTTATTTAGCTATTTTAATTATTGCCACTTCATACTTCTCCACTAAGCGTGGACTCTGTCTCATTTTTGGGGTACTCTGAGTCTGTCCAAAGCACAGGACCTATTATAATCTGTCCCCTCTGCAGCAGGCACATGTATTTACTGTAGGCATTCAGTATACACATACCTTTTTCTGCTAAAAAGTGGAGCCAACTCGTTCGTGGGTTAGAGAGTTGCAGTATGTTCTGCTCCACGCAACAAGCAACTGTACTATCAATGAAAGAAGAGAAAATCATGCATATATTAAAGTTCCATTTAACAGCAAGAAAATTGCAATTAGTTCAGATCTCATGTGGTTTCTCTGGTGAATTGTACATGACTTTTCTGGCCCTATGTTTAGCCATTAGTAATTATATTTGCATGCTAATTAATTTAGTGAAATTAAATGTAATGAGAAAGGTAAAAATATTTACCTGGATTCAATGGCACAATGATCTTGTTTAAATCTTGCCCCATCCTTTTACATTTATTAGTAAACAGCATTGACATAACCCTCAAGACTGAAATATCATCAATAATAACAACTTAAGCAATGAAATAAGGAAGTAAAACTTGTTCTCATTAATGCTTCATGACTCTTTTATGTTCCTAGGAAATTTAAAAGCATTCCTAAAACCTACAATATTTCATTTTAGAGTATTTAAGGGAGGGCAGACTACTGATAGAAGAATACACTTGTTTGGACTTTATGAAAGAAGAAGAAAAAGAAACAGATTTGCTTAAAGGAGAGCTGAAAAAAATGATGAGAACTGAACAAACTCTTCTAAGTGACACTGTGAAAGAGGACAATCAAGAGGAAGATGCAGTGGAAGAATATGAAATAGAAGAAAAAAAGCCAGGTGAACCACTGAATACAAGTGGGAAGGCAGGGAGTAAACGTGTAACGCCAGGCCCAAGAAACGAAACACCCGCTAGCCTAACAAAGAGATACGCGTTCTCAGCAGCCACTGAGAATTTGCATCATTGGCTTCCGACATCAGGTACAAAATCACAGAAAGGCAGTCTGTGTAGCCCTCGACTTGCAGGTCAGGACTGTGGCAAAACAGTTGAATCTAAAGTGAAAAATTCCTTTGGGCTGTATGAACCATCTTTTGGTAAAGTTACCAAAACAAGGCAGAAGGACAGTTCCACTGAAGCGGAAGGCCGTGCTCATATGACAGTTGCAGAAAAGAAACAGAGTCTTCTGAAAGGGCTCTTTGGCCCAGGCTGTGTTTGAAGAGACAACTGTTCAAGTTCTAACATGAGAGGAATGAAGAGAGAGAAGTGAGAGGATGCAGGATTACACAAGCCAAATTTCAAGTCACCGCTACTAGTTCATAACATAAAGCACCTAACACTAATGAAATTGTTATGAATAACCTCATGAGAAGACAAAAACTAGTTATTTTGTTGTTAAGTACATCAACTTATGTCTACTGTAGACATATGGATAATTTTAAACATTTTTTTAAAAACCAATGTTTTTACCTTTAAATAAATGCATATTAAATCTTACAAGTACTGAGAATTTCTTTGAAGGATTTTTCCAAAATGAGTCACATCAGTTGTCACAAAAGAACATTCTTCTGTCCTTGGTCTGTGTGCTTGCATATGCATCTTAGCAAGAGTGCCTTAACAATTATGACATTTTTATGTGTTATCAGGTGTCCAAGTTAGACCTTGTTTTGTAATTTCCAGTTTTCTGCATTCTCTCTGCAGTCTGAATTTTGAAGCTGATTATCCATTAGCTAGCAAAGTGAGCAGTCTGCTTTCATAAGGTTCATTATTGGGTTAGTACCAACAATGCAATAAAAAAATAATTTTTTATTTTCTTCACTCCTGAAATAGCTTCCAGAATTCACACGTAATAAAAATAATTTTCGACTACATTGTTTTCACTAGCATTATAAAGCTCTAGAGCTTCATTCTTTTCCACTGTTAGAAGTTATCAAAGCAGTTTGCCTGGTAACTTCCACAGCTGACATCCAAAGATGAATGTGCAAGAGTAGACTATTGTTTTGGAGAAGTCAGGCATATCCAGTTCTCAAAAAGCCTTTTAAAATCCTGTGTTTAAGGTTATGTAAGCAAGGGTAGGAGGATTATGTTTTGTTCCTTATAGTAATTCATGAAACATTTGTTAAAATGTGAAGTTAGGGAAAATTATGTGTATTCTATTAATTTTGAAAGGCTTTTAAAAAAGCCCTCAAAAAATTATACCGCAAAAGCTTTAAAGGTGATTAAGACATTTAAATCTGAACCTACTTGTAGCATATTTGTTTTCAAAATTTCAAAGATTTTTGTTGGAAGTTGTGCTTAAGCATGACTTTGTACAATCAGAAGAGCAGGCGTTCCTGCTCTATGAACTAACTGCTGGTACTTCTACAACGCCTTTACTGCTGTCCCAAAGCTAAGAGCAAACAAGCACACGTAATCCAATGCCCCTCTTTGTACTGACGAGATGACCAAAAGCCTTTTTGCCCTTCCTCACCAAAATGTTTGACTAGAGCAGTCAGCAAACTGTGTTATTTGATGATCCTGTGCTAAGTGTGGATAAACAGCAAATGCCACTGCAAAGATTTTAAATGATGCTGCTTTTCTTGAGTCCACTGCATTAAACTCCATAACAAGCTAAGTACAAATATCATTAGCTGCATCTTTAGATTCAGAAATATATCAATGTCATAGTTAAATAATCTGTCCTGAATACTTTAAAATAATAACAAAAATTAGGTCTGTTGGTTCCAACAGTATCTCCTTATGCAAGAACATGGCAGGGAGGGGGGAGGTTGCTGGTTTGGGTTTTGGTGGTGTGCTTTTTTTTTTTTTTTTGGAAGTTTTGGTGGTGTACTTTTTTTTTTTTTTTAGGAAAACTGTAATTAACATTGAAAAATTGATTAGAAAACCTGAGATGGGTTGAAAAAGCTTTATTTCATTAATAAAACCACAACTGTACATAACATTCAATCACAACATTTTTTCTTGATGATACTGAATGCATCCATTTTTATGTTAGCTAAATGTAATTGCTAATATAAAAACATTTTTTTTGTTAAATAAACATTTAAACAAAAAAGCCAACAACATTTCCATGGATATATACACACAATTTATCGTGACCTTTTGAATTACGGAGGGGCCCCAGCCCCTTCCTACAGGAAGGCAAAGGACCTGAAATAACACAACAAATGCATTCCAGTGTACAGTGGGAAGCAGAACAAGAATCGCCAACAGCCCAGCAGAAGAGGGAAGGGTGCCCCTTACAGCTTTGTTCAGGCTCACCTCAAAAAAAAAAAAAAAAGAGGAGGCGTGGAACAAGACCTTTATAAAGCCACCAATTTGCCTTGTGGGGCAGCAGTGACAGGGTTGCAGATACCACCGTAGCATGGGAGATAACCCAACTTTCTCGCTGTCCTACAGGCACGGTACTAGGAAGAATTCTGTCCTCCTTTAAATTCAAAATATTGTGGCTGTCTCCTGTACCTAAACACAGCAGGAAGGATTTATTCCAAAACAGACGATTGTTTTCCCTCCTATTCCTGCTTGCTACCATTCTGTTACTACTTTAGACATTAAAATCACTAATTTGCCTTTTTACGTTTACACAGCTGTTTGTGGCTATCCTGGACATACGCTGAAGCCCTAGGAATGTAGTCCCCTGAAAGAACTGCACTGTCTCCTGCTTTCTCTTTCTTAACATGGAGCTTGAGAAGGATGGCCAGACCTTTCCTCCCAAAACATGGAAGGAAATAGCTTCAGTGATCCTTACTCAGTTTGGGAAGCAGAAAAAAAGTCATGGAAGGAAAAGTCAGTTATCAATAGAAGTAGAAAAAAAATCAAGTGTTCAATCAGTTTTAAAAGTCAGGGAGCAAGAAGTAGCCAGCCGGCCTGTATTTGGCAACTGAGTGAATGTCTTCAGAGATAAAGGCTGATTCTGCGTATGTATCAATAACGCATTTTCTAAGACATCCCAAGAATACACCAATTCTAGTCTAAAAAATAATGGGAAAAGTAATTTTGGTTTACTCTAAGCCAACCAAACCACCTACCTCTATCCTCCAGTACCACTTGTCACCAAATATAACCCCCACCTTTGGGTGAAACTGCTGTATTATACAGCAAAGAAACAGCAAGGCTCCCAAATTAATTCGTAATGCCAGTGCATTTCCAACTTTAAAATACAAATCCAACACCTTTCAAAGTCTTACGGTTCTGCCATGAACCGGTGTTCATACTTGTCTAAATAGACACAAAATGAGGTTCTACAAACAGCAGTGCTATTCTTTGAAAACATATCACCGAACAAAAAAAAAGAAAAATAAATCAAAATACTGACTGATATCCAAATGAAGTAACAAAGATTATCTCAGACCTAGTCTAATGAAAGACAACTGTTTGGTTGGGTTTTTTTATTCATTTAAAACAGTGATAATGAAAATGTAGTTTAGGACTCCACCGGTTACTGGGATCCCTTCAGCTGAAAGGGTGTAGCATGATAGCCACAACTTTATTACAAACCACAAGCCAACATGTAATTCCAACACCACCTGAAAGAGATATAAAACACGATTTAAGTCATTGCATCAACAACCCTGAAGCACACAAGCATCTGAAAACAACTTTGGAAGCGTAAAAAATTTAACGTTAAGAGTTGTGAGGTGAACAAGAACAAAACATCTTTCTTTTTACACGCAAATGTCTCTCGTCAAGGGATGGCAGCTAACTCCACGCTGGTCCTGAGAAAGCCTGAAGATTTTCTTGTGAAAGAGTACCAAATAACATGAATATGATCCAAAGAGTGGCATATACAATCCACAGCTAAAAATGTTTGCTATGTACCCCACAGAAAACATCTAAGGTGCTGAAGTTAAAGCCTTGGCAAGTAACAGAATACTTTGCTAGAATGTAAACTCAACATTTGAGAGAGGTAAAAAGCAAATTTCCTCCGAAATGTAGATTAGTCTTTTTGAAAGTACTAAATCCATACTTCTGTCCTTTCCCCTTACTCCCCATACAGCTCTACAGAAAAACGCTACTGAGAGCTTCGCTACTCATTCCAACTAGTTGCACAGAAATTTGTACTGGTGTGACAGGACAGGGGTGTGCCCTGACTGCAACACACAGCACACTGATACTGCAGACCACATAGACTCATGCTACCCAGTGTCACAGAATATGTAGCTATTCATAGCACACACATGAAGAAACTACCTCTTTGGTGAGTTTTAGACACATTTGTGTTCTCAACTTTATCACCTAGAATTCAAAAGAAATCTCCACAGTAAAGTCATTATCAGCCAAGACAAAAAAGGAGATATGAAGGCAGACATAGATGTGAACCTTTTTAAATCCCTTCAAATGCTGTTTAAATAAATGTCTTCTGAGGACTATTCCCCCTACCCTGCACAGAAGCAGACTCTCCTCTTATCCAGTAAGCATGCTGGATACAAATCATTCTCTGCACAGCTGTTTAAGATACAAGAAGATATAATTCCAACAACACATTCTGAGAATTCCTTCTAAGGCAGTTGGGACTTAGAAGCCTAACATGAAGATTCACCAGCAGCATTTCAGCTCGATGGTAAATCTCCCCACTACCTTGTCCTGTTACTCTGCCTGCCTACTTATCCCATCAGCCTAGAGCCAGCACACCTGTTTATGAGTGAAAAGTACTTACAACCTGTGATATCCTTCTGACCATTAATTCGTTAAACTGCCCAAAAGAAAATTATTTAGGTAGGTGAAAATGCAACAGAAGTGCAGTGGGAAAAAGGGTGGGAATAGACAAGACAAAATGCCAAGAGAGAGCATACCTGCATCCTTCTGGAGTTACACTATGATGAAACCCCAGCAGTTTATAATAAACACACACAAGCGATACAGACCCATGAAGTATTTGCCTATTTTTAGGCCCAATTCCACTATTTCAGTGGACTCCTTAATATAAAAATATTTCCAATGTGAAATATTCTCCATGGTCTATTCCATATTAAGATAAAGCTGCGCTGTTTGAGAAGATATAAAAGTGACAAATAGCCCATTTCACTGAAGACGTAGCCAACAGCTAGCCAAATGTCTGAAACCCCTCCCTGTCCTAAGGGAGTTAGAAGAAACGCACAGAAGCAGTGCTTTTAATCCACGTATGCTCTTTCTCACTACGCTGTCAGCATCCGCATGGGCTTGGGAAGTGTATTTTTTCCAGTGTACAGTCCTTACCTGCCACCCCCGTAGGAAAGGCCA